TATTAAATATATAACATCATAAAATGTCAATAAATTGATTAAGAATAATTAATCAATATTCTCCAGAAGTCAATAAATATCTTATAATGATTGACAAGTGACAACTTGTCATTTACTCTGCCACAAATGCCCAATGCAATGTCAATGCCTAACGTTTTCAAGACATGTTGAAGATGAAACATTTCATCAGACAAAAGTTGTTCTTGAATTTGAAAAATTGTCTATCGACACAAGTGTTTCTTAATTAACTCGTCAATTCGTAATGATAAAAGTTTCAAATTTTCTCGCAGTCATTACTTGAGTTTTAATTGTCGATTGAACACGGATCTTGAGTAGACGACGAATTCAATATGAATCATTTCATTTTTTTAGTTCTTGTGTCGTTTTTAAGTCGATCGAATTGTGAAATCTTTTCGGCAATTGATGAACTTGAAAATCTTGCTGTGTCGGAAAAAACAATTCTTGGTGAAATTGCGAATTTTACTAAATCCTTAAACGACAGCAAAATAAATAAGTAAAAATAAATTTGATTCACAAAAAGATTGCATTTCCAGATGTTCATAATTATCTGTTTTAAGAAAAATTGCTGCGTGGCAGAACGAGTACAAGTTAGTGGAGAAAGATGTGTTGGCTTATATCACGAATCCATTGAATGCGTTTTTAATGGTCAAACGAACCACGTCAGATGTTGAACTCATTACGAAACATTATAAAAAATCTTCAACAAATGTTTTAGAGAAGATCAAAGATCTTCAACCAACTGCTGACGATCTTTCCGGTGCAGTTGAAGGTTTAATGCGACTTCAATACATTTATAAATTAAAAAGTGAAGACTTTGCCAATGGAATTATTGACGGTATCAAAACAAGATCGCCACTCGCACCTCATGATCTGTATGTGATTGGTGATGAAGCTGCGAAAATCGAAGGATCGTCTTATTTTGCAAAGGAATATCTTGAATTGACGTTTAAGCGAGTTAAGGCTGGTCTTGATCCTCTCAAAGAAGTTAATGTCGAACATTTACTTTTGCGCTTGTATGACGTTTATAGTGGAACCGGAGACTTTGAAAAAGGACATTCATTCTTGGACGAATTACTTGCTCGAAGTCCTGGCGTTGCGACTGAAAAGAACATTGAAGTAGCCGTTCATAGAAGTGAAAACAGAGCAAGACAATCACTTTTGACGACTGAACTCGATCCATTTTCTGATTACTACAATCGAAGTAGTAAGTGGACTTCAGATAAAGAAAAAATTGTTTACAGTCAAGTTTGTCGTGGTAATCTAACAAAGACAAATGCAGAAATCGCACAGTTGAAGTGCAGATATGTCTCCAAAAGTGCATTCTCTAAACTTGCACGGTTCAAAATTGAAGAAGCAAATCTTCATCCATACATTGTCGTTTTTCATGATGTTCTATCCGATGATGAAATTGAGTTCTTAAAAGTATCTGCGAAGCCAAATGTACATCGTGCAGGAACGTTGAGTACGACGCTTGATGTAAAAAAGACAAGCAGTCGCGTTGCCAAACTTTCGTGGCTTCCTGATGAGAAGGACGAAATCATCAACAGAATTTCACAAAGAGTTGAAGTGGGTTTAACTTAATTAAATTAGTGCAAACTCAAAATAATTAATGATTGATAAATATTTAGGACATGACCGGTTTGACAATGTCAACATCTGAGATGCTGCAAGTGCAGAATTATGGAATTGGTGGTCATTACGTTCCACATTGGGATCACACAGTAAAAGGTCAAAAGGCTTTCAGTACAAATGGAAATCGAATTGCAACGACATTGTTTTATGTATGGAACTTGTTAAAATATTCAAAGCTTTGAAGCATTCAATTCTTCTCCTTCAATAATTTTAGTTGACTGATGTACCAAAAGGCGGTTACACGATTTTTATTTACCTCAAAGTTCGAGTGTCAGCAGTTAAGGGGTCGGCTGTTTTCTGGTATAACATAAGAGACGATGGTCAAGGTGATTACAGGACAAGACATGCTGCATGTCCTGTGCTTATAGGGACGAAATGGGTCGCAAACAAGTGGATTAAGGAATATGGTCAAGAGTTCAGACGTCCATGCCCACCTGGGGAATTCAAAGAAGTATTCGAACGCGATATTTACATACCTTTCTTGGATTAGATGAATTGATGACTTCACTTTTCCTTCGTCTTTTTAATAATTTCCTGTAAGATACTTTACAACAAAGGTTAAAGTTTGAAAAATTTAAAATAAAGTCACGTTCACTCTCAAACCGCTGCTGATTTTCAGGATGATGAAGCAACATACATCATAACGTGATTGCGTTTTTCTCCTTTTTTTATTTCTTTGAGGGAGATAAGCTTGATGAAACAGAAGTTTAAATAAATACGGAAAAAGTATCTAAAAGGAAAACATGGAAGGGAGAAAATAAAAAACCAAAAACGTCTTCAATAATCCCTATTGTGCTGTAATGATGTTTAGTGTACCATGAATTTTCCTTGAAGAGTTTAAAATTTTCCATCTCTCTCTCTCTCTCTCTCTCCCTCTCTCTCTCTCTCTCTCTCTCTCCCTTCAACATATTTACATAGAAAAATAAACATATTTGGATGAAGATTATTCACTCTCAAGTGGGCAAATATCTAATACCATAGCTTTAAAATGTTTTTCGTTTATTTACGATTCAATATTGAAATGCTTTTCTCTACTCCTGAATAGCAAAAGTATCAAGAGAATTAGATAATTGACTAGCTTACATATGTTGTTAACATTTATGAAATTTTAATGAGCTACAATTTGCTAAAGACATGAGTAAATCTTGTCTATTTATGTTTCATATTTATACGATTTAACTGAGGGGTAATAATTTGTAAGTACACAACGTCAGTGAAAATCTTTTGTATCGTAAACTCTCGACTTTTTGCTATAAACAACTTTATCAAAAACGAATAAATTCCTGCAATTTTCATTAATAAAAGATTTTAAAACTGCACAATTTCTTTGAATCTTTTCATCTTGAATTACAAAACACTCGCAGAGAAATTTTTATTTTCTCCTTCAATTAAAGTTTCGTTATAAAATTAGCAATGAAAGTAATTTCAACCACTCGAAAAGAAAATTACATTCTCCTCAAGAATAAAAGGAAAGTTTATAAAAGAAAACTTTTTACTTTTTCCATTTAGATTGGTACAATAAGTAATGAGAGAAGCTTTGGTATTTTAAGCAACGTGACCGGAATCTACTTGATTCGATGTTGCACAAGAAGCTTCGAAACTCTTCATTGTTTCTTTTACTTTTTCACTCAATTAATTTGCACAATAAATTACGTGTTTCTGAAGTATATTGATTACGAATGAACGAGGTTACATGACGGAGATGATGATTGTGGATAAAATGAAAATATTCTCGCATCTTTTGAAATCAAAGATACAGAAATGAGTTGAGATGAAGTTAAACTGAATTAGATAGTTCAAATTGAAGAATAATTTTAAACTACTGAGCATAACACTTGGTTTTCAATTTTCTGTGCTTTTCTAAATAGTCGAAGTTTATTTCATAAATTAGTTTGTATCTAAAGTTCACACTTCGTTCTCATGCTTCTGTGGCTGAATCTTGTCTCGAAGCTGGGAAATTTTCATTAGTTTTTATGACCATTTTTTTATCTCATTTCGGTGAAGTGTGAAAGTTCAAATAATGCTTAAAAAATCTATGAAATGGAAACCACTCAGAAGCATAAAACGCTTTTCAGTCCAAAATCTTGTCATTTAGTTTTTGGTCACTTCAATTCCTTTTCGTCTATTGCATTATCTATAAAATCGTGTTTCCTCTTCTTGAAATAATGTGGCTATGAAGGAAACTTCCTCGTTTTCTTTTTGTGTTTTATGCACTCGGAAAAAAGGTTTAAGAATCTTGAGAGAAAATTAAATAAAATCTCGAGGGTGAATCAAGTCAAAATGGAAGAAGCTCACAAAGTGTACTAAATTTGTCGTAAAATAAATTGGATTATATTAAAATTGGTAAAAAGGAAAAGTTTTCATTTGATTTTTAACACTTTCAGACGAAAAAAAAGGAAAATAGAATTTAATAAAATGATTCGAACAGACATAAATCTGAGGATCATGAAAAGTACAATAAAATCATTCGTATTGATTAAGAAAATATTTTTATTCCTTCGATTCTTGGGGTTCCGGAAGCTTGCTTAGGAAAGTCAACCAGACTCGTTCTCTCCCCTGTGCACCTTGTAATCAGGTCAAGTCAATTTATGAGACAGAAAGAAATTGGAATGTCATAACAATTCAAAGGATTTCCCTTCCCTCTTTCCCCATCATTTCCATCTTACTCTCATCTGATAATTTCACACTTCATAAATTCCCATAAAGCGAAGTGATATCATGATAGGAAAATATTCATGCGACGCATAAAAAAAGGGATCATAAAATAAAAATTGTCTTCCATCTTTACTTTTATTTGCCTTTTTCTTTAAAAAAACGAACGAAATAAGGAGAGAATTGTTTGCATGCAAAATAATAAAATCGTTTACATATTTGCTTGCTTTGTTTCTTCTTCTCATCTTTCAAGCTTATGGTATTTTAATACCTCCAAGCGATAATGAACAGAAAGCATTTCATTCATTATCATTCTTTACTTTTTTTCACCCTTTTTTTTCTAGTGAATGATGAAATTTGAAACGCACGCGTTTGTTGTATGAAAACTCACTGAACTTCCTACCTTAAAGCATCACACAACAATGAAGCGTGAATAGAAAGAAAGAAAGAAAAGAAGTGGAAGAAATGCAAATATTTATGTTTTTACTGATACAGCAAAGTTGTGGGATTAAATAGGAAGAAGAATTGCAGGAAAACCCTTCAAGTGAAAGGGGTAAACCTTTAAAAAAACTATTAAATTCGACTTGTAATAGTTTGAAAACTTAATTCATTTATTTTCTGTCTCGTAAACTTGTTGGTGGTCACTAGCAAGTTTAAACTTTATCTTCACCCTGCAAATCTGTATAAAAGTCACCAAATGGAAATAAAAGAGGAACATTTTGCAACATTTTTCTTTATTCTGTTGATAAAGATGAAATTCAAAGAGCATTTTTAATCGTTTGAATAAATAAAGTTTCTCAAACACATCTGTTTGAATATTAAAATCACGATTGAGAGAAACCGATGCGGGATGTTATGAAAGTTAAACTTCACTACACTTTTTTTTAATTAAATTATGAAATTAGATTTCATGTGAATGAAAATCCTTTAAGTAAACGAAGAAAAATTGGAAATGAATTTTCCCCTCTGTTAGTAAATTTTCCTATGTTCACTGCAACTAATCGACGCCAAATTAAATTCCAAACATTCGGAATATTTAATAATCACATTGTGTTAATTATCTTAAACACGTTCATGAATAAATTATTTGTTTGTTTCGTAAATACGAAGCTACGTAAGTAGAAAGAAAAAGTTTGTCGTATTTAGATGAAGGAAGGCAACGTTATGAAAGCAGACGATGCAACAAAAGATTTTCATCCTTTTAATCTCATAGTCAGTTGAAGACCCTTTTGCTATGGCAATCATTAGAAATTACACACACACACACACAAAACAAATACGCATAGAAGAATATTAAGCTGAAAGTACGGAAGAGAAACAAAGTTCAAAGAATAATTAACAGTTGATGAGATTTAATAAATTATTCATGTACCTCAAGTTATAGCGACTTTGTTCGATGTGACGACGATGATGACGACGGGAACGACAGTAGAGTAGAATGTGATGATGGAATTAACAGGAAGCATTAAGCTGTTGCTGTTATGGAAACGGGCGGATCATGAAAAGAACAAAAAATGCTTTTAAATAAATTAATTCCGTCGTTTTAATAATCGCGTCGGAGATGACTCTTCGGTGTTCGCTTTTTCTAGTGAGCGAGAAAGGAAACAGGAAAGAAGCTTAAAACTTCTAAGAACTTCTTTCATTTTTCTTTCCTGTGGGCTAAGACATTTCACGTACATTTTACTGCGGTATTTCATCGTAGTAAACACGATGATGACAAAATTGAATAAATTTTGATGCTTCCAAGACGTTACGAATCGAAGGGAAAAAATAAAATAAAAAAAAGTCTCATAAAAGTGGAAATTGAAATGTTATCGCAATTTTCCAGGCTGCCGGCACCGGCATTGCTTTAACAACGTTTATCGTTTACGACTTTTACATAAAAAATAATAATATTTGCATTTTTGAATACTCGAATTTGATATTTTTTAAAAGTATTCTACGATTCGTTATCGAAAAAGCTTCAATCAAACTTTTCATCCTTCCATTTGATTTTGTCTGTGTCAAGTTTTCGTTAAAGGCAGTTGAAGATATTTACTAAGCATGAAAACATGAAAAATAACACGAAATTCACTTCTTCTTTACAGCTTGTGATTGTCATCCGATTGGATCATCTGGCAGAACATGTAATCATACGTCAGGGCAATGTCCTTGCAAAGACGGCGTCACGGGATTGACTTGCAATCGATGTGCTCGAGGTTATCAACAGAGTCGATCACATATCGCACCATGCATCAGTGAGTAGCTTTGATGTTGCCATTGATGAGTATAAATATTCATAAAAATTTATATTCTCCAGAAATTCCAAGAGTCATCAATGTTATGATGACACAAAATGAAGCTCCCGATCCACCGAACGACGATCCAACATATGAACGTTACCAATCTTCAGAACAGCGAGGTAAGTTTTTAGAGTATTGCTGATAAGCTAAATTTCTATGATATTTAATCACATCCCTCGAGTTAAATTTTCATTTTAAATTTCAATCAAAATGTTGCTTTGCCTTTATAAGCACCTTACGTCGAACAGATAATAAACAACTCCCAAGAGAGGTTGAGAAGCTTTTAAATTTTTATTTAAATTATTGCCAAGATTTGAAACTGCTTCCTATCTTGCCTAAGATGTTTATTAACTTCCTTTTTCTTAAGAATGGTAATTTCTTTCGTTATCACCCTTGGAAGATATTTTGAATCACAATCAACTTAAGGAAATTCATATCACAAGCGTCTCTTCGAATGGTTTTCCAATCCATTTAATTTTAATAATTTAATACCATCAGCAGAACGCGGAAGATATTTACGACCATTTCAAAGTTATTCAATTTTCTCTATTGTTGAAGATTGTCTTGATTTTCTGCTTGCCAAACTTTTTTTTTCTTTCCCTTCCAAACTCAAATCCGTTGTCATAAACTTTGCTTTCTTTCTTTGTTTGCGATTGCGACAGCAAAATGAAAGTTGTTAAAAAGCTTCATTTGGGATCAAAAATCAATTTAAGTTAAACTTCATTTTTATCACCTTCGCTGACTGTTCGTTGAATCAAGCAAAAAGCTATTAAAGGACATCAAATTTTTGCTGGGAGAATAAAACGTGAGGAAAAGTTCAAGCGGAACATAATTCAAATAAGTGATGAGATGAAAACTTTTCTTCCTTTCAACGAAAGAATGTCAAATGGAATTTAAAGCCTCTTCATTTTATTTTCTTACAACATCAATGGCAATTTTATATTGCGCATAGATGGAAGAAATCCATTAGTAGACGCATTTTCAATGTTCAGCATTGATAACATCACGGGAATGTCATGCCATTAAAACCCTAAGGAACGAATGGAGTGAAAAAGGAGAAGAAAGGATGTCGGACTTGAAAGCCATTTAATAAAAATTGTAAGCGTCTTCTTCACAAAGGAATCAGGAAGAAAGTGATAACAATAGTAGAATAACAATGCCCTTTCTCACCCACGCCCTATAAACCAATCCCCATCATCATTGAAAGTGTTGCTTCACTTCTAGTCTTTTGATTGTCTACTCATCTTTCAAAAGTCTTCTCGTTTTTGATCATGTAAAAAGATTTACTTTAATTTATTCGGTCAATGACCTAAATAAGTAACCGGATTTGTTGTGGATTTACATGAATAATGAAAGCGATTAAGAATTTGCTTGAATAGTCTGGTCAATCCATGTTCGTACAGGTCCAATTGCTGACCAAACTGTAGGAAATCCAGAAAGTGTGCATGACGTTCCCCAAGCTAAAACACCAACAAGCACGTTCTGACCGTTCAAATTGGCAACAGCGGGACCGCCAGAATCAGCATTGCAGACATTTCCAGAATTCTCGAATCTTACTGTGCACATACAGCTTGAGCTAAATGGATTGCTTGGAAGAATTGTGCTGAGAACTTCACGACATAATTCAGAACTCATGATAGGAAGTTGCACAGTCTGAAATTTTCGATTCTTTTATCTTATCGCTGATAAATTTAGGAAATCTCAACTTACTTGAAGTTCATCAGCTAACACATGTGGTGGCCCTCCAGTGACACTTCCCCAGCCAAATGATCTGACTGTTCCCGATTGAAGAGGTGGTGCTGATTGAGCTTGAAGAGCAATCGGTTGAACAAATTCGTTAAATGGAGCCAGTGGAGCATCAAGTCTCATTAACGCGACATCATAAGCACTCGCACCACCAGCGAAATTTGGATGAATGAATTCAACGGCGATGTTTCGGAATTGTTCTCGACCTGAACGATTAGCAATTGAAACAAAATGTTGTCCAACAACAATTTCGAAACGACCGATTCCAGTAAGATTGTTAATAAGACAATGTGCAGCCTTTAAAATTTAAATTTTTACAACTTATAAACTGAAATTAAAAATCAGCAACTTACAGTTATTGTCCACCACACATTAACAATTGCACCCCCGCAAATATTTAAAGGCTGAATTGTTGTCGCAAATTCATACCATAAAATTCCAATTAGATATGGAGCTTGACCAGGTGTTGCATTTTCGCCATTCCAAATACGATTATTTCGAGTCGATGGCAAAGCCGAAATTGTCACAACAAGAAGTGAAATTAAAATTAAAGTTTTCATCTTTTTAACTCAAAGCAAACTGTTAGTGAATTGAAAAATATCAAAACTTTTATACCCTGAAAGATGTAAATCTTATCATGGAAAGAAGTAAAGCTTTCCTTTAATCATTTTAAAAATTTGATAAGATTATTCAATAATTAATAAGGAAATTCCACAATGTATTGGGAAAAATTTAGATGACGAATTGTTTTCATTATCTGAACTTTGAGCTCAGGTTTTATGCCAATAACGATTTCATTGTTTGTTATCTTCTAGTAGATATAAGTTAAGCTTTTCTGGAATCACATTTATTAATATTGTTGAAAAAGTTGGATGATGACAAAGCAATTTTATTATCTGAACTTAGGTTTACATTTTATTTCAGACTTTTCATAGTCTAGTCAATCCATGATCGTGCAGGTCCAACTCCAGACCAAACGGTTTGTTTATCAACAATGCCAGAACAAAAAAACAAAAAAAAATCGAAATAACATTTAAAATTTTCATTTTCAAAGGCTGAAATCAAACTGTCAGATATCAAAAAAATGGTTTTTAGGTACCCATAAAAGTTTTATTTTATCTCGCAAAGAAGTTAAGCTTTTCTTTAAACATTTTTAATCCTTTTTTGATAAGATTTAACTGAAGTTGAATCATTTTGGATGACTAACTAAATTTCAAGAATTTGCTTGAATAGTTTGATCGATCCATGTTCGAACAGGACCAATTCCAGACCAAACTGTTGGTAGATCAATAGCGCTGCATAACCCGGATCCCCATGAGAATACACCAAAAATAACAGGTTCACCGTTTTCTTCAATGACTGCTGGTCCTCCGAAATCTCGAGTACAAACGTTTCCTGAGGTCTCAAATCTCAATGTACACATGCAACTGGAACTCAATGAATGTCCAGGGAGGATGGCATTCAACACTTCACGGCATAGATCGTATCTCATGACAGAAAGCATAACAGTCTGAAAATAATTTGCTTATCAAATATCAGAATTATTCAATAATCAACTTACTTTAAGCTGATCAGCAGAAACTGATGGTAGTGAATCTGTTATACTGCCCCATCCAAAAGCTCTAATAGTTCCTATTTGTGGTGGTTGTGGTGATTGACTTGCAAGCCTTATTGGTTGTACAAATGAATTGAATACGAATGGAGCGTTCGGTCTTATAAGTGCAATGTCGTAATTTAATCCTCCTGCTTCATAATTGGGATGAATTATTTGTAACGAAATATTTCTGAACTGTTCATTTCCTGAACGTTTGTCCAATTCTACAAAATGCTGGCCGGCGACAATTTCTAAACGATCGGTTGAAGGAAGATTGCCGAAAAGACAACGAGCAGCCTGAGAATCGTTTTTTTTAAATTATGTTATTTCTAAACGATTTCATTTCGATATTTAACTTACACTAATAACCCACCACTCATTAATAAGTGAACCACCACAAAAAGTAAGAGGTTGTTCAATAGTAATTCGATATACTAAAAGTCCAATCATATAAGGAGCTTGACCAGGTGTTGCATTCTCACCATTCCAAATTCTGTCATTTCGGCTTGATGGCAAAGCTAAAATTGTGGCAACAAAAAATGAAATCAAAATAAAACCTTTCATTGTTACGATTGGAACCGAACTGTTAATGAGTTGAAAAAATGTCACAAGTTTTATACTCCGAAATTTATAAATCTTATCCTAGAAAAAAAGTAAAGCTTGTTCGTTAAAACTTTTATTATTTGATAAGATTATTGAACAACACATGACAATTCCAGAGCAAATTGTTAAATATTTCGATGACAAATTCATTTTTTTAATGATCCCTAAAGATTATCAAGAAGATATTTTACAATTTAAGAATTTGCTTGAATAGTTTGATCGATCCATGTTCGTGCAGGACCAATTCCAGACCAAACTGTTGGTAAGTCAACAGCAGTACATGATGGACTCCATGCTAACACTCCAGCCAGAACAGGTTCACCATTTTCTTCAATAACTGCTGGCCCTCCTGAATCGGCATTGCAAACATTTCCAGTAGTTTCAAATCTTAATGTGCACAAGCAACTGGAACTTAATGGATGTCCAGGGAAGATGGCATTCAAAACTTCACGGCACAGATCGTTTCTCATAACAGAAAGTAAAACAGTCTGAAATTTAATGAACTTTTAACCACTGTTTAAATAATAAAATCTTCAACTTACATTGAGTTGATCAGCTAGAATAGGCGGCGGCGTTCCAGTCACACTACCCCATCCAAAAGCTCTAACAACACCCGTTTGTGGTGGTTGTGGCGATTGACTTGCGAGTCTTATTGGCTGCACAAATGAATTGAATACGAATGGAGCATTCGGTCTTACTAGAACAATGTCGTAAGAATTTGCACCACCTCCAAAGTTAGGATGAAATATGTAGAAAGAAATGTTCCTAAATTGTTCATTTCCCGAACGTTTTTCCAGTGCTATAAAATGTTGACCAGCGACAATTTCTAAGCGTGCAGTTTCAGGGAGATTAAAGTCAAGACAATGAGCAGCCTGGAAGTGAATTTGTTCATTGATTTCTTCATGATGTGAAGGCAAAAGATTAAATCAACTTACACTAATAACCCACCACTCATTCACAAGAGAACCTCCACAATAGTTAAATGGTTGATCAATAGTGAGTGGCTGATATCTGAGAAATCCAACCATGTAAGGAGCTTGACCAGGCATTGCATTGTCACCACCCCAAATTCTGTCATTTCGAATCGATGGCAATGCTGAAGCAACAGCAAATAAAATCGTGAACAAGCTTAAAGTTTTCATCTTCAAACACTTGAAGCGAACTGAAGTCATTTAAGTTTATGAATCATTTTATATTGAAAAATTTGTTATCTTATCGTTAAGAATTAATTTTAATCAATTCGTTTGATATTCGAGAAGGAAATTCCGTAAACATAAAAAAGTGAAAATCCCAAAATAAAAAAGGAAATTATTTGTAAGTCATCGTCATAAAATTGCTCGATATCATTGAGATTAAGAGTTGTGAAATATTTCATATCGAGGAGGGAAATCTTATCATTTAATCTTCGATAAATTAAATAAATCTTTGATACAATATCATAAATTTCAATTCTTTCACATAAATATCTAAACAAAATTTCTCTTTTCTTTCCAATTTTCCCAAGACTGTGGCAACTGTCGAGTGAACTCTAAGAAGCTTACCCAGAGCAAATTCTGCAAACGCGATTATGGTGAGTAATTAGTGACCACTTCAACATCGATTTGTTTGTTTATGTTTAAGATATGAGAAAGAAACAGACGAAAGTTAAGTTACTCAAGCATGTTGGAATAATTATAACTGATAATTCATTTATAAGTGCGCATTTTGCGATCCATAAGTGCCTTTAAGGAAAGGAAATTACATAGAATTTTGATATCATTAAATTAGTCGCATGTCGACCCTTTTTCACTTTGCCTTCTATGTTTCCACTTTCAGCGTTAATTGAAAGGGAATTTAATTAACTTTCGTGCTTCTATTTTTTCCACTTTCTTCGCTTACTCAACGTTCGTTCTTCCACCCCAAAAAGTCATTTATAATGCGAGTATGAAAAAAATAAAGAAGGAAAATTGAACATAATTGTAACATAATTCATGACAGAAGGAAAAACATAAATTTGCGTCGCCACCCACTTTACTAATGATCTGGCCCATAAATTGTAAGAGCGTCAATTTCAATGAGCATCTACAATGTGTGTTCCGTCTTTACATATATTTTTGTTTTGTTTTATGAAGGAAAAATTTTCCACATCCACCTTCGTCATGTGAAAAATCATTTTTCTTCATTTATTTTGACAGCTGGAAAAGTTTTCTCTTTTCCATTCGTTTTTTGCTTCTTATAAGTGCACAGATAGATGAAAACACGAGCCAAGTTATATCGAGAAGAAAGTCAAAAACAATGAGCTATTTATGCAATCATCACTCCTTTGATGCTCCCCTCATCCATCCAAAATTTCATTTCTCATGTCCAATTTTTATGATTAATGGATGCATTCGTTCATTTTGTGGCTGCCATGGCAAATTGTGTTTGCCAGTTTGCTTTCGTTATGTTAACTTTATTTTTCTCAACTTTCATCTTGTTATTTCCTTCTTCTTCTTCGTTCGAGGGTCAAGCGAAAGGATTGCAGTCAAGGAAAAAAGTGTACGGTTTTGAATAAAAAATGAGATTTATAGGAGAGGATCATAAACAATCTCTTAATAGTTGAAAGCTTTAGGATCATAAGCTGAAAAATCATAAATTACGATGAAAAATGAGCAAGTTTGAGTGGGTGGAAACACATATTTATGTTCAACTTCTTTTCTTGTTTAATGAACAGTAATATTTCCTAAGAGAGATTTTTTAGTTCGAAACATGGAAACATCGGTAAAGGGTTAGTTCATAAATCATGTAAAATCATTCATTCATTTCCAACATGACTTTATGAATCGATCGACATAACGATTCAAAAGTTAATGCTTACATAAGTTCTCAAAAGTCCCTTGGATAACTTCAGATTTCATTCATTGTCCAGTTTTGAAACTCTTTCCGAAGTAATTTTCCAATCCACTTTCCGCACATTTACTCCATTGTCCGATAAACAAATGAAACAACATTACAGAACTCATGACTTCGTTATTTTCTTGCTAAAGCCAACAACCTTCGAAATTCCATTTATTTTAATGGATTTTATGTTTTGTGGAGAAAAAAAGACGAAATATTGCGGTCTATTGAAGGCAAATATAACTTTTAAATGAACTTTGATGGGGCACATTAGGAAACCTTTTTCTAGATAACAACACACGACTCAAAAACACACTCACAGCATGTTTAACATTCGACAAATATTTTATTTGATGTTTGACTTTTTTTAAGGTAAATTTATCCTTTTTTCTATTGTTAATCAAAGCGGAAATTGGGTTTTTCTTTTCAATTATTGGCTTAACTTTCAAATATCTCAATTGATGAATGGATTTCATTCTTCTCTGCAAATCCCTTGCAAAATATCTAATTTAGTCTTTTTTCCTTCCATCTATTTCTTCTTCTTCTTATTGAAAAAACAAAATTTAGCAATCATGGCAAAAGTTATTGCAAGAGAAGCAGTTCCATCGGCAACAAAATCCTTAGAGGATCAAAGTAAAACGGAGTCTGTGAAGTTTACACTCCAAGTGAAGGCGATTTTCCGGAAGACGGATGATAGCGTAGTGAGCGGATTAGCAAAGCGTCAGAACGTGTCGCTTTTCGTTTTCGCTAAAGATCTTGATTGCAAATGTCCAAAGATAAAAATAAAGAAGTAAGTTTGAGAAGTGTAATGTGAGTTCCACTCAAATTTATGTTCATTTTTGTCGCTTCTATTTAGATCGTATCTGATTCTCGGAAATGATGACGAGGGTCCGGCAAACGCTTTAGGCATCAGCGATAACTCCATCGTCATCGAATGGCGCGATGAATGGTACCGTCGCTTGCGAAAATATCAGCGGCAGTCGCACACGTGTGATTAAGTGTATGTTAATCTCTTTTATTTAATTTTAATAATACTTAATACAGTTATAATCTATATTTTTATTAACATAAAATGTTGTTAAGAGATTTTTAAGCATAAGATAATTTGCTGCCCAGTTTTTGTAATAGACAAGGCAGACGGTGGCGATGAATAATGACTCAAAGATCGCAAAAAAATTCTCAACGAAACATTTGTTGTATGTAATTCTTCCTCGTTCTTTTTCACTTTATATAATGTAAAAAATATTTTCTAATGTGTACGTAAATCGTTTTTTGTTTAATGAAAAGGTTGGCCAGATTAATGAGAAGTAACTGAGAAGATCTGAAAATATTTATGCCCCGAATCTAGTCAGCCCGAGACTCTCTGCAAGAATAAACGTGGGGAATAATTTGAAAAAGATTTTCCATTTAATAAACAAATTACATTTAACTGCTTGGAGCAATAACTCGAGTGAGAAATGCTCAGTAATTTGCGAATCACGCTTATGAATGGTTCGTGTAACGAAATGAAAAGCTCGAAATGTTCATACGAATGATTTTAAGCTGTGTACGTCATTTCTGATTGCTCAGTAGATTCATGGCGGTATGTTTAATAAGGATAAGAAAGACGGATGTAAATGAAGATATGATTTGGAAAATTATTTACTCAAGAAAGAGGAAATAAAAAAAGTTAAATATGAGAGAATTTCGGTGTCACATTCCATCTGCCATCGTTACCTCATTTTCCATTCATTGCGTAATTTATTTCATTTTCTCATCTTTCGGAATAATTTTCAAAGCTTCTTTTCTTCAATGAAAAATCACTTCGTTTTAAATATAAAGCAAAAAGCAGAGAGAATGATGATGATGAAATGAAAAGAAAGGAAGAAAAAGTAAAGAGAATTGCTTAAATGCGGGTTTGAGATTTATATGAAAAATCTTTCTAGGATTTGCTACCACGACAGTATTTTAATTAAATTAAAATAGGTTTTTCCACCCCGAGCATTCCTTTTAAATGTCATGAGCAATACTCAAGCGGAAAACAAAAACTGAATGTTGTTCAAAGATGTAAAAACTCCTAAAATTTCATGTCTTGATTATTTGTTAACAAGGAAAGAGATATCAGAATTTTAATCAAAATTAATTAAATTTTCACTTGCTGAACAAATGTAAAAACGTCAATTCCATTAATTAATTCATCCAAAATTTATTCATGAACTTCCTTGGAAATTTCTGTTACTTTATTCTGATTTTATGAGAACGGAAGTTGCATCAGAAACAAGCAGAATTTGAGAGACGTAAAAGTTGTCTTCAAGATTCAACATGACAACATAAATAGAAATAAGAAAGATTTCTGAAACATTAAAAGTTCTCCAAAATACTAAATTCAACATAAATTGACAAAAGTTACGACGTGTTCAACAAATTTACTCTCAAATTCCTCACTTTGCGAAGTGTGCACATAAAGTGAACGATAATTAAGTTTCTAGACACGCAGACGACGTTCATATTCGGGAGTTTAATTGTTCCAACATGTAAATAATCGTGGCACTGAGATGAGAGACACTTGTGCTTTTGTCTGCCTCGATTCTCTCACCACAAAATGTCAAGCAAAATATCATGGGAATGTGAAAGAGCGAATGACTATTAGCAAGTCGTAGTGTATAGAACAAATGGTATTTATGAACATGTCGGAATAGATTCTCGACGTGGTTGGAGTTGAAAGAAAATAAAATCGAAAACTATACAGACGAAAAGCTTTAGTTTCGTAATTATTTCCTTTCCTGAAATAGCAATTAAAGCAGTAAAAGATGACATGAGGAAGAGAAGCGAGACGTGAATACGAAAACAGCTTTGAATAAGTGAAAATCCTTTTCCCGTTTATTTATTTTAAGCGAACGCGGTTTTTCTCCATGAAATGATTCACCATGAGAAGTCGAAAGAGATTTGATACCATTTGAAATGAAAGTTAAACGCTTTTGCAACGAACTTCATACCGATTGCATTTTCCTCTCATGAATTTTGTTTTAACGATTGAAAGCATTCAACATAAATTTTGCTTCATTCCCTTTGAAAATAGATAAAAGAGATATAAAAAGTTTACAAAAGCAGAAGCTAGGGAAATGATAAAAATGCGAAAGAGATGATTTCACTTCAAAATATAATTGTAAAAAAAATATTTCACTACCACTTCAAACTACCAAACGACTTTACTTCCGAAACAAATCTCCATGGAGATTCAAGAAATAAATAAATTGAATCAATTATTAGATTCTCGTCTCTTATTCAACATGCAGTTTCGAGTTGAAAAATATTTCAAAAACTTTCTAAACAAAGCAACTTCACTTCCATGTCAAAATATTGATTATAATCATGCCTCAGGATTCTGTTTCATCAAACAAAGGCCGCTTCTCGTTTCCCCCTTGTTTTAAAACTTCCAACTCTCGAAACATGAAAGTCAGAAAAAATCCAAAATTAAAAACAAAAAATCGTTGATGGGAAACTGAAATCGGGGAAAAAGTTTTTCATCATCGACCATCATAAATATCAAACAGAGGAGAAGTGCATAACTGTTTGTCTGAATTTTATCGTCCATTCCAATAAGCTTACAGGTAGTTAAACGTCAAACACATTGCAATTCTCCCTTGAACATATTTTTATTAATGTTTCAATTATTGAAGCCAAATTAAAAAACACATCGTCAAAACTTTTAATCATTGAAAAAGTTTTCCATCATCGTTGTAAAATATTGTAATGCTATTAACTGTAACTAGTTTTATTTCACCACAAAGTATTGAAGTTTCCACTTCAGTTTTCATTGAAAACAAGATGAATGTTTTTATGATATGGAAGTTTGATGCTTAGTTGATTTGGGGAGCTTTAATGGTGTTTTAAATAATTTTAAATAGAAATTTAACTCTTCACATGAATCCGTTGAGTCATTCATTAATTTATTTGAACATAAATAGAAGCTTTTTAGACGCATTTCCAAAACATTCAATTTATATTTAAAAGAGATTTTCATGCACAAAGACGACGACCATGATAAAAGCTACCGAGAACATTTCCATTGACACTTGAATGAAGTTGTCACAGATGAATAAATATAAACTAAACTATAAGATTCTAATGTTAAGATTTAATTAGTAAAGTGTTATTGCAGACGTTTTTTATTTATAGAACTGAAATGGAAATTGTAGATTTCATTCGCCATAAATTTGCCAAAAACAAAAAAGAAATAAAATCAAATACAAACTTAAAAAATTTTAAATTTATTTGCATTGAAAGTTATTAATTTCAGAACTCATTAGAAATCAAATCTGTTGTTGTCGGACATAAATTTATCTACACTGACGTTGATGTTCAAGCAAATCATTCAACAATCAATAACAATTCGAAGTTGTATAAAACCGCACAATTTTATTGTTTGAAATTTAATTTCATTTTCCTTCCATCCTTCATGGAAATATGTCGATCAGATAACAAATGCGCATCGTCAAATGTGTTTGCCTAGTCAGATTAATGACTTTGTAATTCATGGACCATCAATAATATTTTCACCTCGCATATATTTCGAACATTTCATGTAAGTATAAATAGTAATTTATCAAATATTTTTGGCTTTGGCGATGAAAATTTATCAAATAAGGATTCATACAGAGTGTGAGTAGATTTGAAACAGTTCCAAATTTTAAATATTTCAGTGATGAATGATTATGATGATATCAGAGAGAAATTGATTTTTGTTTATTCCAAACACAATCATTCACATAGTTTGGTAAGTAAATCATTTATTGAGGTTTGGTTGTGGGATTCTTCATTGACTTCTTCTACATCGTCAGATACTAACACGACAATCTATGTCACTGATTATGTCAAATAAATTTCATCTTAACACTTCCATTAAAATATTTTTAAATTCTCTTAGTTAGTTGATTTACCTTGAACCATAAAATTTCCTGTTTCGCTGAACATTCTTCTAAAATTAAATTTCAAAGTGCTAAAAATACTGTTAGCATAACAACGAAGCTCTTTATGCTTCTAAAATGAAACTACAAATTATAAATAATGTCAAGTTGCACAGAAAATAGAATAACAACAACCTCATAGAATATTCATGTCTTCCTAGAGAGATGGCAACAATGAAGCAAAATGCTAAGAAGAAGATGAAACTCAGTCTCAAATAAATAATCTTTTAAAACAAATTAAATGGATGGTAACAAATTTTGATGTTTGTGGTTGAGAAAGGAAAATGTTCAAAGGAAGTTTCATCGATTTTCTTTGTTTTTCATTATTACTTTCACAATGCTTTTTCATGATTCATCGGTGAAATTCTTTAAAACTATCAGAATTGTCCTCAATTTATTAATAAGTGAAAACGTGAATTTATTCAAATTATAAAACATTTTAATGAACTGAAAAAGTATTAAATTAATTTCGTCTTAGCAAATTTTTCAATTATAGGGAAAGGAAAATCATAGAACAATTTAAAATAAATAAATACTATAAGCAGCTTAAGGCCTAGTGATATAAATTTTTTCAATTAAAGTTTCTGAATTTATTTATTTTCACGTATTTTGATGTCGTCTTTGGAAATCTTTTGATCGATAAAAGCCCTGGAAGATGTTTTACATTTCGAGATCTGACAAGATTCAGCATTTTTCCTTCGCCTTCTATTTGCATGATTGCCTCTCACTGAAAGTTATTCTTCCGAAATAAAAATAAAATTTACATAAAGCGGACAAGAAAGGAACAGGAAATAAAAATCAGGACACGAACATTTATTTGTCAAAGTGGAAAAATAAAGTGAAGTTAGCAGGTAGAAATTATGCAAATTTTCCAATTTCATTGTTTAGAATTTCTCGATAAAATCTTCACAAATATTTTTCTTCAGCTTAATTCAATGCGATGACCCACATTTTACTTGCTTTTGTTTTAAATCTTGAGAAATGCATGAACTAGAGAGAAATTCAGTCAATCGTGACAAAGTTTTAGAGGGACAGCCAGATTTAATTACAATATAGAATTTTGCTCGAGTGAAATTTTAATCTTCATCAGCCCACTTGTCCTATTGTGCCATATTTAAGCAGAAAAGGGGAAAGATCCAATATAAATATTTATTTAAGGTCATTGAGATTTGTGAACGTCAACCGTTGTGAATCTCGTTCAATCTGTTTTAATTATAAATTCATTTGAAAATTTGTTCAGCTTAAGACCAGCAAAACTTTTCGAGTTGAATTAAATTGGAATTAAAAACTTTGTCAATAAAGTAGTCATTTCAGCTTTTATTCCTTAATTATACATTTGAATGTTCTTCTTTACCGAGGATTTTGAAGATTAACAGAACTTCTATGTACATATTTAGATCAAGAAATTAAATCAATAAACGATAAATTATCTCGCGTCACTCCATATTTTAATTTTAAATCGTCGATAATTTATTAAACAGCTAAACGACGAAATTATTGGTTTTAAATGTGGGCACAAGCACACCAATAAATCATTAAAATGCATTTGCATCGTCATTGCTTTGTGTTAAGTGTTTTTGCATGTCGCTTGTAAGTCGTTATTCTTCAATACCTTTTAAAGGCAAAAGAAACTTCAAGTAGAAGTGTTAAAAACGAAATGTAAGTAAGGAAACTGAAACAAAGTTCATGATACGTTAAGAAAGGTTTGTAATTTTATTGTTAGATAAACCTTAAAGTTCATGAATTTCTTATTAAATTAAAGTTAGTTAAAATAAATCTTTGATGATATCTCGGAAGAGATTCCTACCCAACATGCTCGTACGATTACATAAAAGACCCACATAATCAACTCCATTCATTAGCTTTGAAATCTTCCTCAAATTTTCAGATAACTTCAGGTCTAAACATGAGCAGAATTTAAATTCAAATCTCATATCTTCATCGAGTGAGATTGCATATTTGTAAAAATCTGTAAGGAACATCATTAGCAGGAAAGAAATAAAAAGAAAACAATTTTTAATTTTAGGTACAAGCAACTTTTTCTGTTTTTCAAACTCTTTTGCATAAAACTCGCACGAATTTTCGGTTTTAATCTTGAAGACTTTAATTTTATGGTAGATACAACGAAAACCTTAGAAAAAGAGTAAAAAATTACCACATATGATGAATAATTGAATAAAATTACGCCAAAACATTTTCATATATAAATATTTTTCGCACCATAAGCGCTCTACGTAAGTATTAGGTAAAGGAACATTGGTTCTGAGCCAAAACTTCCAAGAGAAAGAAACGATGTACAAATATATCCTAGGGCATACACGTATCTTAAGACAGCACAGTTTGCAGAGTGTGATCGGAATTTTTGTGTTAAAAAGGAAGAAACGATGCTTAAATAAGAAGTTTGTGTGTGTCGATGGTGAAACTTGCAAACACGTAGAATTGAAAAAAATGAATCTTAAATAAAAAGTAAGTAAAGTAGAGACAGAGACTTTGCAGGCAATCTTAAATTTCAAGGAAAAGTCTGGTAAGGTTTCTTAATGATGTTGGATAACTCGATATTAATAATTTTCCTTATCGTTTGTCATCAAAATTCTTCACTCAGCAACATCAACATGAACTGAAAGTTTAAGATTAGAAATGTTTCTGATTAACTCTTAAACATTAAACGACATTTTTGATGATTGGTTTACGGATATGAAAGCTTTTTCCCCACCCCAAACTCTTTACCTTACAAAAAAACTTCTATTCATATATTCATATATTCATATATATATGTTCTTTCAACACTTTTTGTTGAGAAAAANTCCTTAGAAGGCCTGCGACTTGAAGAAATTGATTGCGGAAAATTGACGGGTACAAATGTTGTTAACAGAGAAGTATCAGATGAAATGGAAAGATTGCGAAAGCTACCAGATTATAAAAATGATTAAATTTACTATAATCAAAACTAGAGTACAAAATTTTGTGATATAGCATTATATCGTTTAAATATGTTCTTATAGAAAAATAAAGCAATAATAAATCATTGATTGATTTTATGAGTACATATATAAATGTATAAAACTATTTCATTTATATGTTAAAAGAAAACAGCATTGGAAAAATTTGAAAATAAAAATATATTCAAAAAAAGTTTTTGAAAAACATCCCCACCTCAAACTCTTGATGAAAACCCTTGTAAAAGCAGAAAATAAGTTCCTTTAAAGGTTTCTTAAAATTTATTGAATTTTGTTAACTTGAAATCTCATTTAACAAGTTTGAGGGTTTGAAGCCCCAGAAGTCATATAGTGAGTTAGGTATTTAAAATGAGGGCTTCAAACCCTCAAACTTGTTAAATGAGATTTCAAGTTAACAAAATTCAATAAATTTTAAGAAACCTTTAAAGGAACTTATTTTCTGCTTTTACAAGGGTTTTCATCAAGAGTTTGAGGTGGGGATGTTTTTCAAAAACTTTTTTTGAATATATTTTTATCACTTCTTTACATCAAGAGTGAAGTGGATGATCTGCTAATTTATTATTTAAATGTTACAATAATTCACTTTTTAGCTCTAAGTATGATTGAAAAGAACATAAAAGAATTTTTAAGTTATATTCCATTGACAATACGATAACATTTTCCTGTTCAACGATCTAAAATATCATTAGGCATGTTGTATTTATAATAAATCCCTCGCTGCTTGATGTTTAATCATCGTCAAAGGAAGGCAAAATGCTTCTTTCGGATAAATTCTCGTTGGAAAATCATTTCTATGTATTGCGATAAAAATCTTTATTATGTTGAAATAAAGCAAAATAAAAACATTATATAATATTTATTCATGGGATTTTCATGGTTTATTATGAAGCATTAGACGAGAATTCTCTTTTATTTGTATCCATGAGGATTCATAATTCTCTAAATGCTGTTATCATAAAATTGTTTCGAATTTATAATGCGCATTTAAATAAGAAGATGAACAACAACAAAAAATGAAACTCTTTCATTGAAATCGTTTTTTCGTGCATCAACAACACTTATTCATTCATTCACATTGTTGTTGAGTCTATGTTTGATTCAACAATGTATTAGGAATCAGCTTTTCTCTCTCTAATCATTCACAAGTGGGTGGCTTAACTAACGACATTTCGAAAGAAGATTATTTTCTGGGAGACGAAGAGATTTCCAACAAAATTTCAATCAATCTTCATTTAACAATTAAGAAGAGAGAATTACTTTAATAGCACTATTACTTTAAATTTAAATTGTGTGTCTGATAAACTTGTTGAGTCATCTTGTTGATTCTATTTAATAAAAACTTACCATCGCATTGTTCATGTTGTGCATTCCCTAGTGCGTTGTTTATTTGCGACTTGCGAGAGAAACTCCCAAGTGTGAATTTATTGATAGTTAAGAATGTCAAAGTTCTTTCGTCATAGACTTAAGGCACTGAAATATTATCACGTCACAAAAAAAGAAAAAAAATACTTTCGATTGTAGATATTTCTTTCTTGACACACGTTGAAACGAGCGAGTGGATTTATAATGAAAGTTTGTACAACAAATCTCTCAAACTAAGCCACTTGTTTAATAAATCTCTGAGACTATCAAGAAGAAATAAAGAACAAGAAAAGAAACAGTAAAAAGAAGGCCGCAAATTGAATGTGTTTGGCCAAACAACATAACTTAGTTCTTAATTTTGTGTACTAAACATTAAATAGATAATATTAAGAGACTGTTTAACTTACTCAGAGAGGTTTCATTCCAAAAAGATCGGGTCGATAAAATTAATTATAAAAAGCTATGTTTTAAGTTTGATCTTACTCATTCGTAATTTTTGTTCTGAACATTCGGCTTCAGCTAAAATGGCAATGATCGTGAACATTATCGTATTGTCAATAACTTTAACATTTGTGTCAACAGGTAAGCAAAGTTGTTCACCCTACACGTATGCAAAAGATCAAAATTAATTTAAATGTATCTTAAATTTCTAGCTTCTGCTGCTACACGTAAGTACCTATCACTAGCTTCTGTTTATTTAATGAATATCTACTAATTAAAGCTTCTCTTTCATCTCACAGAATGTGTAACTGGATGCTGGTATAACAATGTTTTCCATCCTACTGGTTCAATGGTGAGCTGTCCTGTCATAGCACAAAATTGTATTGGTCGCGATATTCCTGGCCAATGTTGTCCCGAAGAATTTTGTGGTTGTACCAGAAACGGAATTGACTATGCAATTGGAGATCAAGTTCCTAGCCTTGGCACCTGTAATACTTGTTGGTGTGATGGCAGTGTATCTCCACCTTTAATCGCCTGCAACAAATTGGATTGTTCTTTGTCAGAAACAGCATTACCCCCACCCTGTGCTGCACCCAAGTTTTCTGGAGGTTATACTTACTATGAATTTGGAAACATAATGCCTAATTATGGTTATGGTTGTGCCAAATGTTTCTGTGAGTACAGCGTAGACGAGGGTCCGAAAAAGGTCTGCTACCCGGTTTGTGAAATTTCTCTTACAGAACTTGAAAGAGCGCAATACGAAGACCCTCCGTGGGTGTAATTTTCAGTTTTTCAATTTATTGACGCAAACGACTTATCTGTTCGTTATTTAAATAAAAGAATATTGAATAAAAGAATTTAAATGAAGAATAATTAATAATTGTCTTATCGGCTTAATTTTGTTTATCGATAATGGAATTTTTAGCAAACAGAAACAAACTGGATCAACAGTTTTATAACACACTTCAGAACTCACTAGAATTACGTTTCACTTTATATTTTCATCAACAACTTTTAACTTCTACTTATTTATGAGGCCTCCGTAAATAGTGTTAATAACTGTTAGAAGAAGTGTAAATAACAACTCGAAAACATGACGGCATCATGAAAACAAAAATTGAATTAATTAGTTTCATGCCATCTCACACACGAATCCAATTTGTTATCTTTCGGGGGCTTGAGATAGAATCATTTGTTTTGTTTTCATGCTTTTATCACAGTTGGAGACCTACGCTTCTCTGATGCCACTTTGATAGGAAAAAAAATCTATTTATGAATTCATAAAACTAAATTGTTTTTAAGTTAAAACCTGTTTGGAATGAAATGCATTCTCCCAACTGATTTTTGGAGTAGTTTTTCTACATGTTAGATTTTAAAGATTACTTTCAATTTAAAACTTTCACAAATTTAGACACGTGGCTTTTTACGAATTTCATGTCAGATTTATGTACAGAATTATTCTCATTCATTCATCTGGTCATCCAAAATAAAATTAGAAAATTAGTTTAGTCTTGAAAATGTATTCTTATTTGCCACTTCTAACTCCACTAGAACAAGCAAATCATTTCTCATTCCGCTTCATCTCCAGCCGTGAATCAACAGTGGAAGATTGTTTTGTGTGTCTCATAAATATTTTAGGATGGCATATCATTTGCCTCTTGAACCCAATATTCTCCAACGAGACTTTATTTAGTCTATATCGTTCTCATATGTAGCACTTAACGTGACTCTGAAGTGGTCACTTCAATAAACTTCCTTTCATAATTCAGTATCATTGTCATACCATAGAATAAAAATATTTGTGTTGGAAAACAAAGGCGAGAAAAATAATCAAGGAGCATCATCATCACAGGGAGTCTTTACCTCATTTTCTTTCCACATCTATCATGAACTTCATAGCATTTTGTTATAAGCATTCTAAAACTTCATAAATCATAATATTTGTTTAATCATCTAAAAGAAGAACTATTTATTCTCTTGTGATCTTTTACCATTCATAATGTCTCGTAGCTTCTCGTTTAACCTGCCGTCAAAAAATTCCATGTTGCTTTTGTCTCATTCTTTCGCCTGAAGGATATTTCACAGCATTGCGTGTGGTCCTTTCATTCCTTGTACATTCTTTTTTTAAGAATAGCAAGCATTGTGTGTGTGGCTCATGCCAAAATATTACAAATCTAACCTGAAACGACATTCTAAAAGCCGCCTTTTTCCTTTTTCACATCCTCGTCTCGTCTCTCCCCATCTACATAGTAAAGAGTCATTAATCTCGTGTTACTGAATAATTCATTAATGTCTTTTCAAATTTATGTTTGTTTGCTTATGCAAAATGTCAATGAAATATGTTGCTTGTGTTTTCCACGTTTGCTCTCACATTCTGCCGCCTCTAACAAATAGTTTTCATTGTTGTCGAGCATTAAATTCACATTTCTGCAAGAATGTACTTTTAACGTCTGTGCAGATGAATGCAGAAGTTTTCACTAATGTCAGAGTCGTCCTTTGGGAAAGAAATAAACGAAGAATGAGCAAATTATGGTGTGTTGTTGTAGATATTTAGCTTATAACTTTTCGATAGATGAAGAAGAAGCACAAAAAACTAGTCTGGTTCATGTTTGTTTCAATAGATGACTTTTAACTTTTGTTTGTGAAGTTATTTCTGTAATCTTCCTTGAAACATAAAATTTAATAATTAGAAAAAATAATGTAACTGAATAGTCATATAAATTAATTGAAATATAAAACTTTTCTTTGATAAATCAACAGTTGCTTTCATACTATTAAATCAGACTGAACATTTAAATCTTTTTCTATCCTTTTATCCAGTTGAATACTTCAGAGCAGAATTTTCTCGTTTCACATTGACAAGTGAACCTTCTTTTTGCGTTTCTCAGACATCTCAGCTGCAAGTGAATAATTTGCTTCTATGTCATTTTCCTAAATCCAACAAATAAATATTTTTGTTATATCTACATAAATGCAAGAATATTCCGTCGCTTTGTCGAGAATCTCGAGACGTTCGTTGGCTTCAGTTGATATGTTTATGGAGCGTTGTTTTGTATGTTTTAATTTAAAATAGTTCCATTCATGAAGAATTCTCATAGCACTACGAAGCTTGTTCAGTTTTTGTTTTTTCTTCGAAATGGATATTTATGTAGGAAGATCCTCTCCATATTCCTCAAGATATATCTATTTGAACGTAAATCTCCGTGTTAAAAATCTAGAAATTGTATTTGTGTGAACATATAAATTTAATGAAAACAAGATACGAAGAAAATCGAATTTTTATCGAACAAGTTGCATCTGAAGAGAATCAAACTCAACGGAGAATGATCTCAGTAATAATGCCATAAACATTTTGGGTCAAGATTGATTCGAATTACTTTTATGTTTCATGCATAGAAAAATATCACAACATAAGATAAAGAAATTTTACGAGTGTTTCTCTTTGATTTTTTTTTCGCTTGACATCATATTAGCGCGCATGATTATTTCCTTTGCTTTGCACAGTAACTCTATAATTAAATATTAATTTATCGCTTATGAAATTTGCTAACACTTTTCTGCTTCCATTCCCAACAACCATCCTGCTGATTTACGATTACAACAAAACGTTACAATTTTTCACCACATCAAGCATAAAAACTATTAAATTATTGGGTAGCATCCGAAGCACTTTTATCGTCGCACTCAACAAGGCAAATGTATATGTGATAGAGAACTATCCTCGGCTTTTGAGGTACTTTAATTAAATGAGAAGTCGTAAAAAATATTTTAATCTCTGATGGCTTTATTTCAAATCATAATATTAACTAGGAATAGCTTCTGTTTGAAAGGCTTTTAATGACGATGAAAGCAAAATCATATGAATTGATGAAATTTGGGAGTTGTCCATCAAAAGTATATCACAAATATTTTTATTAATTTTTAAAATATTCAGCACATTTAAGTGTGGGCTCATTGGCGATCAATCTGTCATCATAACGATTTCTTCCAATATTTTCATACATGCACATATACCTAAGTCAATTTAAATTAAAATCCCAACACAATCGAGAGACGAATGAAACAAAAAAGGTTTCATTATATTTAAATAAATGATGTTTTGATTTGTGGCAAATGCATTAAATGTGTAAAAGAATCCTCTCATCATGACATCACCAGCAAATTGCTTATTTCGCGAAATTGATTTATGTGTATTTGCCCAAATATGACTAACATGATGTTAAACTCATTATTGTTAGCGAGGAGGAAATGACGGGAAGTAATCAAGCTTATTGCAAATTATGTTGTCTCGTCTGCCTTTCGGCATCATCACAATGAAGTTTACGAACATCAAAAGCGCATTGTGAATTATTGTAAAGATCTCTAAAGTTGAAGATTCTCTGTGCATTTCGAAATTAATTTAAATTCTCTTGAAATTTGAAATTTTCTTGCTGCCTTTCTTAGGAATTTTTAATATCTCTGGTTATGTTTATTAAGCGTTGCTATCAAAGATTCTTATTTTTCTAAGGGAAGAAAACATCTCAAAAGTGTCTTCTTATATACTCATAAATAAGCAGTAGCTTTCCAATTTAATTGGAGTTTGAAAAATATTTAACAGAAATGTGAAAGGAGTGAAATTCCCTGAACAGAAAAAGTTCATTTTATTTGATTTTCATGAAAAAATGTCTAATGTGACATGCTACATTTGTGTGACACACAACGCATCACGAGCAACATTTCCTCTATTTATTTTTCTCTCTTCGCTCTTTTGTTTCTCTTCTCTCTCAAACATGAATTTTGTTTTTTTTTTCAAGCCACCATCTGTATCTTCAAGTGATTCTCTATGTCTCGTGTTGAGCAAATTCAGTGATTTGTGTTCAGTATTGTGCTGATGTTCGGGACGTACGGAAGATATTTAATCGAATTATTTCATGAATATTAGTATCTTAGAATTTCGGAAAAGGAATTTTAAGTTATCTCAACCGTGAATGAATATAAAAGTGAAGTTCAAAATTTATTCAAATAAATTTGAATTAATGTTCGATCGAAAAATTAACTATAAATTTTAATTAAATTGCCATCCTCATTAAGATTCTTATTTGTGCATAATATCAGAAGAAGCATCAATTATTTATGTCAATATACAATTGAATACAAAATCACGAATTTAATTGAATTCCCCAAGCACTGTAATCAGAAAGTCATTAAAAATTTTCTTATCAGAATCAAATTTTGAGAAAAATAAAAGGAAATCATCGGTTTGTAAGTTTAGTTTAAAGTGGAGCCAACAATAATTAAAAGATATTATCTGAAAGCAAATCAATACAAAAAGTCTTAATCATCTTGTGAAAAGTTAAGACAATGATTAAGCAGAAGTGAAATGTTTTAATTAATTTTTGTTCGCTTCTCTCTCTCTTATCACCTCAAAGTCAGTGAAAATTAAAAATTCATAAAGTGTTTCCGTAAAGTGTGGAAGAATATTTGAAAAAGAATTAAGCATATCAAAAAAAAATCATCCCTAAAGACAGCGAACACGAAATAACAAGACAGAAAGAAAACAACCAACAGATAAAAAGTTATGTAAATTTGACGTGAAAGATATGAAAGACGTAAAAGGTGGAGAAGCATAAAAAGGAATAAAACAGTTCTGAAAAACGAACAAAAATATATCGCTTACAAATAATGCTGAATGAAGTGGAAGAAATTTCATGTAGATCGCATTGAGTTATTAAAATTACATTTCATCACTGTCATCTCTTCCATCTTCTTAAAATAAAGAAGAAAATAGAAAATAATCTGACGAATTCAATTTTAATGAGTGCTTGCGTTTGGTGTCACAAAAATAGAAACATATCGAAACATAACGAAAGAGAATTGTGCAAGTGTAATGTGATAAGTTTACAAGTGGAGTAAAAAGTATGGAAACAAAAATGTATCATTTGTTGATAATCTTTGGATTATTGTACATCACTTCGAGTGATGCTTATAGCAGACACAGTATGAAGTCACTTGTACCACAACCAGCGTCAATAGATCCGTGTTATGATGAAGATAGACCTCGTCGATGCATGCCTGATTTTGTTAACGTCGCATTTGGATCAACCATCGATGCTTCCTCAACATGTGGAACTAACAGTCCACAGAAATATTGTGATGTGGATGGAAAGTGTCATACTTGCGATATTAATGACCCATCAAAAAGTTTCACAGCTGCCGCACTCTCGGACATTCATAATTTAAACAATGTTACTTGCTGGCGTTCGGAACCACGACCCATGTCAAATACGAATTTCGGAAGCTTTGAAAACTCGCCCGATAATGTTTCATTGACGCTTTCATTTGGAAAAAAGTTTGAATTAACATATGTGAGTCTACTGTTCTGTCCAAACGCAATTAAACCAGACTCTATGGCAATTCATAAGAGCTCAGATTATGGGAAAACATGGCAACCCTTTCAATTCTATAGCTCTCAATGTAAAAAGCTTTACGGTCGCCCGGCAAAACAGCAAATTACGAAATTTAATGAACAAGAGCCACGCTGTTTGGATCACAACCGATTTTCTAACGATGGCATGAGTGGAATTCAAGGCAGTCGAATTGCCTTCAGCACATTAGAAGGACGTCCGTCTGCTGCAGATTTTGATGCATCAGCGATCTTACAAGATTGGGTCACAGCGACTGACATTCGCGTCATTTTCCACCGCCTACAAAGTCCATTGGCCTCGATGTCCATGAAATCAAAAAAATTGAAACGAGAATATGCGTCTAAAGACACTTCGACATTGCCGCCGAATTCAATGCTCACTGCTGGCACCAGCACTTATGCGCTCAGTGATTTCTCTGTCGGCGGTCGATGTAAATGCAACGGACATGCTTCGCGATGTTTAAAGAATGCTGATGGACAACTGCAGTGCAATTGTAAACACAATACTGCGGGACGAGATTGTGAAAAGTGCAAGCCGTTTTATTTCGATAGACCGTGGGCACGGGCAACTGTGAGAGACGCAAATGAATGTAAAGGTGAGTGTTTTGCAAACTTAATGAATGGTGAACATTCTTAGTCGGGTTTCTCGATCCATTAAGTCTCATCATCGTCTGTGTTTGATACAGACAATAACTTTATTCCTTCCCCGTCTCTCTTCTAGCATTTTCTATAATTATCGCATTCTACCTGCTTCCCTTCTCGTTTCTGCACTTTTCAATGTTTCTGTTTTCTCTGTTCGTGAATGAAAATGGAGCGGGAATTTCATTATCCTTCCATAATCATTATGACAACCTTTGAAATGGAAAATACAAAAAAAAAAACTTTGCGGGGAGAAAGTCAAGTGGAAAATACTACGTTTATGAGCGGAAAAATTCGAATTGAAAAAGAAATTAAAGCTTTTAATTTACCGTCTCATATCCTACAAGTGCGAGACTTTTAATTAGAAAAAAACATTTCTTGAGATTTTTTTTTATGTGTTTTGAATGAAATGTGTAAGCAGAGGGAAAAGTTTTCATTTCAATTTTCTCGGATTTTGATGTTTCCATCCAGCTTTAAAATCGTTTGAATTTCCTTTTACGGAGGCCCACCTTTGGTGAGGTCACCGTATTGTATTCGACATTTTTTTTTGGAAAATTTTTTTTGCTTAAATATGCTTAAAATAGCATGAAACGTCGAGAAAAGTGGAAAAACTGGATTTTCATTTTTCCGTCGCCTTTCAACCCTGTCTGTCTGTCTGTATGTATGTCTGTATGTATGTAACTTTTTTTTTGTTAACTTTTCTGAGAATTTTTATCAGGAATTTTTCTGAGAATTCTTATCAG